CAGAAAAAAAGGCTTAGAGATAGTAGTTGGAACCCCCCCCCCCCCCCCCCCCCCGCTTGGTGATGTGAGAGCCTGGTTCGGTGAGAACCCGGCGTGCTCCGTCCCGGCTTTGTAGGGATGCGAGGCCAATGGTCAAAGGACTACGGCATGCACGACTGTGAGTACACCCCCCCCCCCTTGCCGTCGCGTTTAGACTGTCTTCGTGGATATTCTGGCCCCTGTGCGAGTTGGTGTTCTCGTCTTTTGTTTTATTTTTTTGACACTTTTATTTTCTTTGGTTTTACCTCACATACATAGCGTGTAGAGGGGAGCGGAGGGCTAAAAAATATTTTTGCTTCTGATTGTATTTTGCTCTTGTATTTTACCGCTCTGCTGACCCTTGGGGTCCATTTCATTTTGGTATACCTTTTCTAGGTATGTTAACCTGTGACCACGGAAATTGACGGAGTCAAGTGTTGGATTAGTTCGGAGAGATTCAGACAGAAAGAGGTCCTGGATAGAGAGACCGGGATGTTTTTTTTTATGTGAAGACAATAACAACAACAACAACAACAACAACATTCGTGTTGACTTGGAGGTTTCTGGTAGCAGCGTGTGATGCGCATTCGCGATGAGAATATCACGTGAGGCTTAGGAGATCTAAGGGCTCAGTGGTTGGGCTTTCGTAGTGATGTCTTGTGCGGGTGTGTGGGGAACAGGTGCTACATCTTCGATCGTGCCCAAATCGTTGCGAGCTTGCTTTTATGTGCAACAGCAGGGGGGCGGGCTGTTTGCATATTTTTGTTTTTCTATTTGATTCTTCACCAACGGCAGAAACTTCTCCAACGGTAGAAACATGGTGTCGTGTAGGCGAGTGCGCTCTCTATCGTTTAGTGGATGTCGGATAATTTATTTGGAGGAAGGATCCGACGTGTCGTAGTGACTGTACTCGTGGTTGGTTCCCTCGTGCTTCTGAATTGGTGATTTCGGCTGGTCGGTTGTGGGGGTTTGTCTTTTTTCCGCTTGATTTCGGCTAACTTTCTTGTCATGTGTGGATTGTTTTTTTTCGGGGGAACGTAACATGTCGTATCGTGCGCGATGATGATCAAGCAACGTTCAGAATGGAGATGCCTGAAGTCGTTAGTCGGCTATCGTAGCGATGTGATACTATCGTGTTTCATGCACTTCTATTTGGAGGTTTGTGTTACTTGTATTTTGGGACATTGAAAGAACACCGTGTGTCATGCGATCTGCGGTTAAAGTCAGTGAGGCTCAGAATGGAGGTGCATGAGATCATTGTGTGTTATCATTATGTTCACAAGGAAGGGCGGTTTCTTTTGTGTTGGCGTACTGCATACAAGTATCATATGCCATGCCCCTTGTAGCAGTACGATCTTTTCATGTTTTGCGTTGACAAGGTGTTGAATTGCCTTAGGATCACGGCAGATGTCTGCACTATATATTGTCTGTTCCCGTTTTCTAGTGGCTTTATTTAAATCTCACGGAGCGGGGGGGGCGATGGAATGAGAATTATTGATGTAAATGCAACGACAGTTGCAAGCGTCATTTTTGTGTTGGGTTTTTGGACGTTATTCTGTCTTTGCAGTCCTGGGTATTTCTGGATGTTGTATTGAAGGGAGGATTTGGTATGTGCTGATTAGTAAATGGTTGGGGCCTATGTGCTTTCCGAATAATGATTATGTGCTGACCAAGAGGTTGAAAGGTACGGCGTTGTTTGAGGTTGTTGATTCTGATTTGATGACGCGTTTCCGGTATTGTTCGTTGTTCTGCAAGACGCAACGCTGATGTAATGTTGAATCTTGTTGGAAATTTTTCCAAGAATATTTCTGTTTTTCTTACGGATTGAGTTTTCTCAAGGGGGCAAGGTAAGTAGGCTCTTGACGTATGAGGTATATCTTTGATGGTATATTTTTGTATGTTTCAAGTTGCCGTTCCTGGAACGGTACATGCATGTAATTCACTTGGACGACAGTACCTTTGTCCAAGCAGGGGGCTGTTTGTGGTACTTGGGTAAAGATACTGGTCCGGGATGGATTTCGGGGATACGCAGTTGGGGTAGTGGTATGACCATCTGGTATTTCGGGGACCCTTTCACCCTCGCAGAGACCACAACCAAATAACACAAGAGCAAAAACAACGTCAAGGGGCGCCTTCGGAGATTGTCGGCAGCGAGCTAAGCATTAGCCCTAGCGCCAGCACACAAGCAAAATCATCAAAGGACACGCAGTCAACCCTATGTTCATGTGACGTCACTTGCGTAAAGGTGGCGAAAGTCACGCACGTGATATGTACCGTGCACTGATCATGCACTTTAATGAAAGTGACGAAATCGTTCGTCACTTGTCTTCACTTTCGTAAAAGTGACGAAAGTCACGCACGTGGTACGTACCGTGCACTGACCATGCACTTTAATGAAAGTGAAGAAATCGTTCGTCACTTGTGTTGACTTTCGTAAAAGTGACGAAAGTCACGCACGTGATAGTATCGTGGACTATTCTGCATTTTTATGAAAGTGACATGCAAGTCACTTTTAAAAATGTATCATTCACTTTCATACCGTGAAATGGCCCTCGAAATAGTGATTTGACTGTTGTAGGAGTGTCTGTGAAAGTGAGTGTGGATTTCACTTTTATTGTGGGAGGGAGTGACGTATATCACAGTCAATATCTCCTTTGTAAAAGTGACTATCACTTTTATACAAGTGACGTCACGCTTATGAAAGTGTCTATCGCTGCTATAAGAGTGCTCCTCACATTCATAAGTGCTCCTCACCGATGTAAGAGTGACAGTTCACATCTTTCAATATCCGTGGGTGGGTGGAACTTTTATTCGCATAGCCCACCCCTTGCCCGACCCTGTCTCAAATGCCGACCTCGAGCTACAGTGTAAATCTCGTGGCGCCCGAAGTATGGTTCGGTGGGCAATCGCAAACCATTATCCCTCCCCGAGTTTTAGCAGCTTCCGCCTGCTGCGGCCGACACGACTCGGCCTGGACTGTTCCTTGTCTGTTTCGCCATGGAAACGGCCGGTTGAACAGCGAAAGAGGGTCCTGCGTGCTGCGCGCCACATTCTCTATTTTTTTTTTTCTTTCTGAGTGACCATGCTGCTGTTGCTGAATTGACTTCAGACAAGGTTGAAGGCTATCGTGTCTGTCGCTTTGGGGTGCACGCGTCGCGCAGTAGGCGATGCGCGTCGCTTACTTTGTCGCATGTTGTGTCGCTATACATGAAAAGCAACAGCAGCACAACAGTTGAGACAGACAACAACAGGCCTTTTCTCTCTTGCTGCATACATGGAGGCGGCCATCAACATGCACACGTGTTTCTACAGGACTGGCTACGACATTTCCGTGCCTCTTGCTCCCAGGCACGTGTTCCATGATCTGGCCAAAGTTGCCCCTTGGGATCGGAGGTTCTTCCTAACCACAACGGTAGGTACTGTGTTGTGTGGTTCAAGTTGCTGTTGTTTCTTTTCTTGCCACTGCTGCTGCACGTGTTATTGTTATTACACCGAAAACCGTTTGACCATCGCAGCATCTCCACTACTCTGAGGTCGTCCCTTGTGGCCCTTGTGGCAAAGGCCGTCTGGACGGTTCGCTCTGGAAGGTCGCCGTTGTGGCTTTTTCATACCTGGTACGGGCCCAAAAAAATCATTGCTTGCTACAGACAGGTGTTCTAAAAACGACTCCGGTTGACCGATCTGTCTCACACACGTTTGCATGTCTGGGTTCTGACAAGCAAACTCCACGAAGCAGAATAATAACCAGCATTCCCGGGAAACACGACGACCCTATGTATTGGTGCTTTACCGTTATGAAAACACGGCGAACTGTTGCCAAGAAAGTGCATTACGGAAGTTCGGCCGCCCTCTACATGTGACCAGAGAGACATATTCCGCATCTCACGCTCTGACCTGGAGACACAAACCCAATATCATGACGAAAGCGCGTTACTATTGTACTTTCGCGATATCAGCTCGGAACCATGGAGGTTTGATGGTAACAAGGACTGTAGTGTTAAGGTCTATGCAGTGATGGACATCGTGTATCGATTGGCCGCATTCGATGTCGATATTTCAGCGATACTCAATATCGACATCGCTGTTTTTTATTGCCGATATGCCGATACATCGTGTATCGAGTATCGACGATACACGATACGATATCTTCCTACACGGGGCCCCCTAAACTATGGCATACCTTCAATTGATAACAACACACAACACACCCAGCAGCAGCACAGCAGCACACAGCACCGCACTGCACGCACAGAGCACCCCCTTCGCGCACCATGCGGTTTTCATTCTTCATTCTATGCTACACAGTAGTAGTGTAGTAGTCACCGGCCCCGGCAGCTTTTTTCTGCGTGTTGTGCCACGTAGGTCAGTCAATGCAGGTACAAAACTGGTACAAACTAGGTCTCAGGCAGCTGGTCTCAGGGTTCTTGTCTCGTTTTCAGACAGGAAAAACCTACAGGTTCGGCTGGCGAACGTCCATCCACCATGTACTTCATTACTACATTAAATTCATATGTACATGTTACCCTCTTTGTATGCCCTTCCAAGTTGCCTCTCCCGGAGCTTCGCACAGCTTCCAAACGCCACATACCTTCTGGGCGTATTGTTGTAGTTGTAATGCAAGATCCACATATATTATCCACAATCCACAACTACGTCGGCTACATCACACGTCATTACGTCTCAACGGTGTATCACCGTCGTTCCTGCTGCTGCTGTGGAATTGGCCATAGAAAAATAGAAGAATCAATCGTGATCGGCTGATCGTGATGTTGGAAAGACAGGAAGACAGGGGCCATTTTGTTGTATCCGCTTGAGATTTTCTGGGCAAGTATCGTATCGAAACATCAATAATCGGAACATCGCCCACTTTGGCGAATATCGGAAAAATATCGACTATCGTCAACTTTTGGCTGATAATTTCAAATATCGTATCGGCACCGATTTTGCGGGCGATGTCCATCAGTGGGTATATGTCGGAAAGAACCATGTCAAAAACCTGCCCTCTCCGCCACGTGTACTGTAATCCGTGATTCACGACCAGTGTTCATTACCAGGATATCTTGGCGAGCACGGTTCGGAGGAATGGATGGGTCTGATACCGCTGCAGGACAAAGAAAACGGTGTGAATCTATCCATGCACTGCTTCGAGAACCACCAAGATCACCTACTTCCAGAAAATCCCGAGTTCCGCCAAGCGCAGACAGACCATTACCAAGGCCAAGACTACCGAAGCCTGATGAACTCGACTTTTGGGCTGGTGCCAGCTGGCTGGTCGAGCGGCACGTACCGGCTCGGGGAGGTAATGAGCGCCGGGTCGATCCCCGTATTCGTAGGCCGGGATCTCGTCCCTTCGTTCATGGAGCAAATCGACTGGAATTCGATTTCCTTCGCGTTTACGCCGGACGAAGTGAAGTCACGCACGATGAGCACGTTGCTGGCGGTTCCCCGAGAGCAGCTAGAGAGAATGCAGGTATTTGCACTTTTATTAATACTACAGATCTGTGAAAGTTATGGCTCGAGTGAAGTGGGCACTGTTGAGAAACACCTGGCATTTTCTGCCGTGATGACACGCTTGGTAGTGTTTGTTGTCCATCTTGAGTGCATATGTTGTTTCGAAGCCAGAGGGCGTTTCAATGAATGTCCTGAATGCATCGTTGCTGACATACGGACCCCTTCTTTCATCACGCCAAAGAACGCCGTGCCACGCGCCCACGAAACGAAGCTTGTCGAATGAAAGCTGATTCCGGCAGGGAGTGCGTCAAGAATCCACACGCATAGCCGAAATATTCTGATTTACCCAACCCTCCATGTCGTCTGACTCGCGCCCTTTAAAATGTTGCACAGCCATGATAATCGACGTGTATTGGTCCCGAGTTCAGAAGAGGATATAGGGGGAGGCGAGAGAAGAGAGCCGTGAAAGGAGCTGTCGAATGAACGGGCATTTGACTGTGCGGGGCGTGGACCTAGCACAAGGTGCTTGAACGTTTTATGTTTCTTTGACAGAAACTCGATCGCTCATTCGAAACATGACTTTCTCCAATGAACATCTACCGTAGGTAACACTTGAAACAGTCGGCTGGGCCAATACTTGTTGGCCTCCGCTAGGAGCTACATCCCTCGGGTACTGCCAGTCCTCGCCACGAGGTTCGAACAAATAACCGTCAAGGTCTCGCACCGTCTGCTTTTCGTTTCATATCCCACGTGACGGTGACGGCGGAATTGCCACAAAGCGCAAGTCGCTCAAGGCCTATGGGAGGATGTTTGGGGCGAACGCGAACGACTTCCGCCCAAGCGCAAAACACATCCTTGTCATTCTTCGCCGGCGGCGAGGGCACCAAAGGCGGCGATGAATGTCCGTCCCCGGCTGAAGTGCAGTAGAAGTGGTTGGCGTTTTGGGCCAACCATGTTCATTGGGGCGTCGTCGGAATTGGAAACGTGTCGTGGTTGGTTGTGTTAAGAGTGAGTGGCAGATCGGGTTTTTGTGAGTTTGTGTCGTGCTTCAGTCGGGCAAAGGGTAAGGGCATTGTTCGGCGTCTTCTGCAACAAGTTCGGCGGTGTTGCTGTTGTGATGTCCACTTGTGTATTTGTTTCGCATAACAAGTGTATTTTTCCGATACACTTCCATTGGGTACTTGGACTAGGCCACGGTTAGAAGGTAGTGTGACCAACTGACTGAGCAGTGACCGGGACGACTGTTTACATTGTGACCACAACAAAAGAACGTCGACCGGCGAAGTTCTCTAGCAGTTCGTGGTAGATCACCAATGGGTTTAACGTGTTGTGACAAACGGATTTAGAAGTATATATTGTTACGGTTTTTCCCCGAGCGACTCTTGTTTCATGTTTTGCTTCCGTCCGCCGTCGTGTCGTGATCTGTTTACGCAGTAAACTCAGCCAGCAGCTAATTCACAACCCGCTAATCAGCTTCAGACAGGCAACGCCGACGATACTCATCGCGTTGATTATGACATAGGTACGGTCCCCAAGACACACAGGGACACACAATACGTACTACAGTAGTCAACACACGCACATACATCTAGACTGTGGCCTGTGGAGTGCCACCCTCGGACACTGCGTAACCCTTGCGGCCCAGCTGGTCGACGTACCAACTCGTGATCACCCAACGGCAAACACCCTCGCACTTCGGTGACGTCATTCACCTCTACCCGTCTGTGTCGACCTCGCGCAAAAACAAACTTCTCTCTCTCTGATTTCTGAATGCCGTGTTTTTATCCGAGGCGTAGACTGCGCAGCAAGAACATCTAATATTTCCCCTGCGAAGATCGTTGGCCGCCTGGCTCATGTCATATAACGCCACGAACAAGATGTGGACGGTACTGCATAGTAGGTTTTTTGGCTGAAAAAAGTACCGAAGTAGGCTCGTGCGTGCGCCCGTCCGTTCTGGAGTTTTGGAGCTATGGGGGGCGACGGTGATTGACACAGACAGGGGGTGGTGATTTATTCATCTGCTCGAAAAAAAAAACGCCCTCTACTGCTCTGCTCAGGCTTCGTTCGTTTGCTTTAAGGCAACGTGTTAGATACTTGCCTACAGTACTTCAAGTTCAGCACACATGTTGTGCTATCTCGAGGTACCGGCCAGGAAATGAGAAGGTAGCAGTTGGGACAACTCCGCCACAAGCTACTCGTTTGGCACAACTTCCTACTTCTAGTATATTGCAATTTGGTGCCTAGATGGAGAAATGGGCTCCAGTCTGCTGGGTTTTTATGGACCCCATCACAGAAAGAAGGACAGACGGACATTATGGTCTTTTTTTTCACGCCCCCTGTGTCAACTAGTCTTTCTTTTTGGCGCGCATACAAAAAGTCTTCGGGCTTGCGTACCCTTTTCTGGCGGAGCGTTTGCGTGTTCTTTACATCTTGTGATGGCTCTAGAATTTTGTGACCACGGACCGAGTCTTTGCTAGACTCAGGGATTGGCAACTGACCTAGTCTATGAGTTTAATGTGAAGACAGTATCAACCATAGCAACAGCACCAACAAAACCAACAACCGTAGCAACAACAACAACAACAACGACAAATGTTGTATCTAAGATCCCTCTAAACAGCCTTTTTTGCAAAACAAGAAGCACTCCTATGGGCCGCCCTCACAAAAAAAAACTACTACCAAGAGGCGATAGCTCCGGGTATGTCGGCGGGGTCTCCGCACACTTTCTGCAAACAGTGAACCGACAACCTGATGCTCAGTGATACATACCAGCTCAATAACGCTGTTGTGGGCATGACCCTATTCAGCGATTCTACAACTGCTGCCCGTCACAGTTCCCTGCCGCGATATTTGAGACCGGTATTCAGGGCATGCGGCAAAACGCGATTCACAAATTAAATGAAACACACAACAGGGTTGCATTGCGGCCTCAACCACACGCGCCCGTACCTCTCTCGGGACAAACAAATACACGAATGGATGCCATCGAGTTCTCTCTCGCCGATACGGCAGGCACGGAGCGGCGGCTGACTGCTACTCGACTGCATATCCTTCATTCCTCACTGTCACGTACGAATGTACTTCCACATATCATGTACTTGAGAAAGGCCTTCAACCACCATAAACTACCGAACGGTCGGTGTCTTACAACTTCTTAAATACTCGGGTGCACGCGGAACCCTCCGAGTAACCGCTGAACTCGTTCAACGTTGCGCAGCTCGTCCAAGGATGCACATCGAAGCAGCGGGACTCCAAAACTAGCCCGTTAAAACGCGTAGAGTGGCGGCCCGCCATTGTACGGTTCGGCGTTGGGGGCGTACCTATTATAGTAGGAGGACAGGGTGCGAGCGAAGGCAGGGGTGGGTGCGGGATCCGTGGCGGACATCATCGGCAATAGACAGAGAAAGAGCGTTGCTGCTGGGAGAACCGATCAAGTGCCCCCCCACGCGTGGTCAATGGTCTACACCTCACGCCAGTTGTTATGGAGAAATTTTCCGATTTGGAATCCGGGGGATCGGCAGATAATGCTCCACCACCCCCTAAAAGTAGGAGGTCTGCGTACTGGGCAGCAAGCAGAGAGCACCAAAGCGCTTTGTCAGTTCTCCCTCGCCTCACAGACCCCTGTTTGCCATCTAACCGATAAGGCTGTACACTCCACTACTGTGAGCTTCTCGGAGCCAAGTTTGGGCAGCTAGAGTGCAGTATGCAATGATATGAAAGCAAATTCACGATTCCCACTTTGGAATTCCAACCAATTCCAGTTGGGAATTCATGAGGAATTCCCACCCGGATCGTCCAGCAATTCCAAACTGGAATTCCTATTTTACCAAGCATGGTGAACACACACTCCACCGCAGCTCCCCAAACTTGGCTCGAAGAGGCTCACCGCAATGCCCTATGCGGCCTCGAAGGTTTGAATGCAAACGGGTCTCTGTGAGGCGAGTACTGAGTGCCAAAGCGCTTTTGTGAGCTTTTCCAACAAAGTACGCAGAACTCCTGCGGCCTCATGGGGGTTTGGATGTAAAAGGCGTAATATTGGGGTTCCCAGTTGGAATTATTTCCATAACAACTGGCCTAAGGCATGCAAAACATGAGTACGCCCCCCTCCCCACAATGTTATTCCTCCGGGAGGTTGCGGACCCCCTCTCGACCGAGCTTCTAGTGAACAATGGCGCGCCTACGACCACATGGACCTTCGTCACCAACTCACCAACATGAGCCCACCGAGAACGTGGAGATACGGCTACGGGCTTGCTAAGTGTCATCAAGAAGCAACCCTACATGAAGTGAATAGCAAAATGGATACCATTTCCCGTCCACATGTCTCGCTTTCATATGGGCTCTGCTGGAAAAAACGGGAAACCCAGAGGGAAATATGAGAAAGGGTGCCGGTCATCCGCTGCAGATTCTTCAAATGGAGACGACACCGTTACCTATATTTCCAACAACAGTGACGGTGCCATAGAAGACAAGGCAGTCGCTCTTCTTCGCACTCGGCGCTAAAACCACAGCAGCAACAATCAAGCAGCAGCAGCAGCCGCAACAACGGCCGCCTAGAAAAACAAGTCCGCACCATCTTCGGGCCTCGCTGGAGGAGTTTGCCTGGAGGTAGGCCGTGACGATCCGCTGCAGCTCCTTGAATTCCACGAGGTCTTGTTCCGCGTCCCCTACCTCAGCGGCCTTCTTCTCGTCACACCCAAGAGAAACAAATCAATCATGACACGTACCCGTTCACACTTGTAATCGCATCGGTTCACGTCAGGAGCGACACCCGGTCGCCATCGCTGACGTCAATCCTCCATCATAGTCGTTGTCACCAATCCTCTCATCGGAACAATCCTCGTTGATGACTCATGCGCAGCGCGGAGGCCACACTGGAGCGCATCAGCACAGTCGTGAACTATTTCGGTCGCGATCTACTTGTCCCTTTCACTGCTGGACCACCACTCTCGTAACGCCACCGTCTCCTCCCCTAACGACTTTCATCCAACACTCCTGGCAACCAGTACCTCACCACCGTGAGGTGCCATGGTGATATGGAGTGACCACGAAATGTCGTTGGTGACCAATGCGGTGTCTGTGGGTCTGAACGGTCGTAATTCCTTGGGCAAGAGCTAGTGGCGTAGTCCAGAATCGAAACATCACTGTGGTCTCTGCTGGTGGTGGTGCTGTTGCAGCATGACGTTGTCACCAACCTTGAACATTATACCGCATCCTTTACCAAATACAACATGTGCGTGCTGATCCAACGAGGTGGCCGAGGAATTTCGATGGCCGAAAATATGAAAGTGAGTCGAAAGAGAACTCAAAACAAGCCACACGCACAAACGAGCGCAAAAAGCTAGATCCAAGCAAGTCTGAGGTCGGGGGTACTACCGTACAGCCCCGTCAATGACAACAGCACCCTTGAGACACACATGCGCACACGCACACACACAGACACAGCCGGCTCACCCTACCTGTCGATACGCCAGCACCGCGGCTTCGTGCAACTTCCGGTCCAAAGCTGTGGTCGCATCGATCGTGTCTTGCACCTGCTCCGGACAAGGGGCGAGGTGTGTGCACGTCTTGTCATAACTGCAATAAACGGGACCAAAGCCACCCATCAGCTTTTCATCGCCCAGGTGGGCACATCACTAAGCGCGAACCAAAGGGGGTCACAAACCGGCCAAAGACACTTTTTATCAGCATTCCGGGGCGAAATCGCGACACCGTATTCACGGAAAAGCAACTTACAGTCACAGTAGTTCTCGAGCAGCTGGAAAACGTGGGGGCGCGTGGGAGGAAACGGGCGGTTGAACACGCCCAGCAATCAAACAAAACCATCGGACCTAGAACTGAGCGGCGTGGTGAGCAGGCCTTTGGACTATCCACTCATGTGTTTATCTCAACTCAACCCTCCGGCGTCCTAGCAAAGACATGTTGGCTAGAGCTATCGAGCGTTGGGAACGGCGATGGTCCATCTTAAAACGATTTCGAGTTGATGGCGCCACGACAAAGGCAAGCAAAACGTTGACGGTAAGGCCCCTCACCCTCTGCAAACACACAGCATCAGTTTGATTACATCAGAGGGACGACGATGTTACGTCGTCTGGTGTGCTGTGGCCAACACGTGCTTGGGTTAATCGGCTGCGCGCGGTCCACAGTCGAAGGATATAGAGCTGACGACAGCACAACAGAGATGATACACAAAACTTGAAAATACATACCAGTAGGCCTGTAGAGAAGCGGTACGTCGGTCCGTGCCTATTCGGAACCACCGACCCACATGCTGCTCTAGCGAGTCGAACGATGGTCAACAGCTGCACAACCACATCAAAACTCCACAGAATCTCCAAGGCCGATCACGTTCCATCATTTTGAACAGCGTGTCATGCTTTTGTCTGAACCCACTCACTGCTCACTGCGACAGAGACTCGAGCCGGGACAAACACGCACCTCATCAAATACGTCTACGTCGCATACAAACAAACGCATGCCAGAACTCCCACACCTTCAATGGCCAGGCCTAGCTCTTTCGACTCACCCACTGCGGCAGAGAGGCGAACCTTGGCACATCAACCAACGGCTTATTGTCCCATCTAACTACGCCTTTCTTCGTTTCCATCATCACAGAGTAGGTCATGTCGATCATGTCCCAACCCATCAGCCGTCGCAACGTCATCAGCCCAGCGTCAAACTCCTCTGTGAGTATCACCTACAGGCAAGGGTTTGGGCGGGCGATAAAACAAAACATACCCAGGGTCAGAAAGAGAGACCGCGGGGGGCGGGGGTGAGGGTATCGAGACAAGCGCGGCGAGCGTGCGACGGTACAAAGCAACGCTAAGGTGATCGTCGCGCCAGGAGAAGGCCTGTTAGCGGGTTGCCAGAAAGACGTGTCGCGCTGATATGAAGCTGGTAAAGACGGGTCACACAACGTCGAGATACAATCTTCCTCGCAACTGCTGTAAACCTGGTTCTAGTGCGTGTGAGGCTCGATCAAGGCCAAGCACCAAAGCATAATTGCGGGAAAGTATTAACTCCTGGCAGATGATTCTCGATGAAAACGTCGAGCTGATATTACAGCACGGAAAGTTGTACTAAAACAAACTGCATGAGTAGCACCAAGCAGCAACGAACGGTGCGCGACGGACCCAAGCCTCTCGAGAGCATCAAGCCTTACCAGAGCGAAGCTTGGGAGGTGTTTCTCGATGAAAATGTCGAGCTGATCCTTGTCGTGCACCCCGAACTCCACACACATCGGGTTCATCATATGCTGCGCGGGGTGCCTCTTCGTTCGCTCCAGGTACTGCTCGATCGACAACTGGCAGGTGATGAAATAATAAGGGATAGCGTTTGTAGGTAAGGTTGGCGTCCCTCTGACTACAGACACGCTTGGCTGCGCACCCCTGTCGGAGAGGTGAGGCTTTGCCCGCTTGTTTCCCGATCGACGAATGCAGATGACCAAACAAAGAGACTTGAAGAATATTAAGGAGGGACAAGGGTGCATCAATCGCCTGTAGTTGTCACAAACATCGCGCACGTCCTCTGCGGCAGGGAATCCCTGTTCAGACATGTTGGGGAAGGAAATCCAAAAGGCACACATCAGCGAAGGTTGAGTATTGTACCTTCTGGATAACGAAAGCCCTTACGCTGAGAAACCATTGATGTCGACGGAAACATGTCCGCCGTGAGAGGAATGAACGTCGGAGACCTTCCCTCACAAACCTCTGCTGGGACAACAAATAATTCCATTTTCAGGCGGACTGAACGCATGGCACCGGCCTACCTTGTTCATCGGTTGCATATAGTAATAGTAGTAGCTCAAGAAGTGCTCCCGCGGACTTCGAACCACCGTGATGTAGTTGATCGGCTCCGCCTCCTGCCAGCACAACCACACATCGGTTCTCTCTCAATTGATTTTCGCAAGACAACCACAACAACGACACCAGGGGACAAGAGCAAGATTTTCTTGGGGACAGTATGTTCCGCAGAAAGGCTTAACGCAATGGTGAAGCGGCCCGTGTGCAAGGCAGCAGCGGCAAACGTAACGGCACAAATTGCCACGGCCACAACGGCAGCAGCAGCAACAGCAGCAGCAACAGCAACAGCAACAGCCGCACCAGCACCAGGAGCGACAGCAACACTAGCGACAGCAACGCCAAAGATCGCAACACAAAAGAGACAACGACGACCCACACCTGCATAATCTGCTTGTACATCTTGGTGTTGTCTTCCCAGGTCCCCTCCCAGACACCCTCATGGACGTGATAGTGCATCACGTCCACGCGCTGCCCGTTTTCTTGGACCTGAGCAAGACCACCAAGTAAGAGAAAGGACACCAGCGTAAGAGAAGAACAGTTGATGGAAACAGCACGCACAACAGCGCCAGTGCGGCGCAAGCACGCGCTGCTTCCCGTGTTTCGGGGCCTAGGCGACGCTCGTGCGACAGCACGAGGGTCCAGGAACACGCTCTGTGTAAGGCAGCATGCAGCTTTGCGCCATATCACGCAGCATCCCCGGCGCTCCCCACACTCCCGGGCCTGGACACGGGCCGCAAACGGTGGCCGATCTCGAACTAAATGTGCACAATTCGCAATTGAGCTCATACATGTACCGAACACCATCACACATAACTGCAAATGTCACCTCCACATGCTGCACGCTTTCGCGCAACTGAACACAGTAGCAGAAATAGCAGTAGTCGGTGAAAAAGCCGGATTGGCCAACAGGAACGGCGATTGGTTGTTTTGGCAGTCTTCATCGCCACACACCTATGCCGCCTCTTTGTTCTGTTGCCTCCATTTTGCCTATGCTCTGGTGCGTAGTGCCTGGTGCTGGTACGTTACCCTTTGATTCTTTAGGCGGGTGTGGGAAGCGTCCTCCTTTTTATCGTTTTTGTTTTGTTTTGTTTTGATCAATCTTCTAGGGCTCTTTTCTCTACCGGTGCGGTAGCTGTTCTTTTCTTTCTATCATTTTGTCTTCTTTTCCGAGTGTTTTGCACCCTATTTTTGTTTTTTCCCCGCGGCGTCGTATGTGCCGGGTTTTTGCGACCACGGGCTCCCCATTTTTGTGGACTACTGTATAGAGCTAATGTGAGATACAACAACAAAAACAAAACCTAAGAATGACACTCCGGGAGACACGTGGGGGCGTACCTGCTGGACTGCCACTGCCAGAGGGACGTTAGACACGAACCGGCCTTCGAACGACGCCAGCTGAAGCGTAGTGAGCAAACACAAGCATCACGCATTCCAGCGGCGAATGCGGACGACACGCACAACACGTACGACATGTAAGCCAAGCATATAACGAGCACATGCACCAAGACGGGACAACAATGACCACGAGCGCAAGCAGGCCAGGCTCCTGGGTTCAGCTGTAGTATCTACACAAAGCAAGATCAAGCGCCACAAAACTAAGGGAAACCAGCAGCTACGAAACCGCAACATGCAAGAACAGCAGCAAACCAACACCACCGCCATCCGTACTAACACCAAGAATATCGGCAGCAGAAACACCATGCCTGATTCATCGTTTCTGCAATTTAGCGCTCAGAGCGCACGGACTGAGGAATGATCAAAGCATGCTTGTACCGCGGGGGATCACCAACGCCCACGCACGAAAATGCTCTATCGTCAAGAACAACGACAAGATCTAAACGGACGACAGGCACGTCCAATTCAGTACAAAAGTCTCGTGCCACTACTGAAGTGCTCCAGGGCGGCATACAAGCTTTATTTTGAGGTTGAGTGCGCAAGGGTGGGAGGGCAAACCTTCTTGTCGTGGCGCTTGGCGTACCGCACGAAGATCATGGCCAGGGTAGTGGACGCCGTCTTGTGAGTCTTGACGAAAGCCACGTTGCACATCTGTGCGAGAAGGGAGTTAGGGATGGAAGTGTGCGCAGGAAGGGACAACAACACTGGGTATACCAAGATTTGGGGCACACGATACCCGTGGGGGCTTCGTCGTTTCGATGCTCGCTTCTGACTAGGCGCAATGTAAGGCGTGTCGGTGCTAAAACACCTGAGGGTTATACACGACAGTCGAGGCGGCCCCACGCTCCTTGACCGGAGAGTCATTCGCAATGCGGAGTAGTCCATAACAGGTGGAAAACGAAGGCTCGAGGTGTATGGGCAGGCAGCGGATGACTTGGAAGGTAGGTGATGTGCCTGACGACGGCACACCATCCTCAGGGGTGCAGTCCAGCCTATCAATAAAACGATGTACGCCTTCTTTTTATATCTGAGCGGAAATATTCGGCTCTGCAGACTCACGCCGAAGGTGTGCTTCTGCTGTACGGTATGGAATGTTTTCGCTGTACGGGAGGGGCTCAGGGTACTGTTGTGAGTGGCAGTCAACGCGCTCTTCCAGGGCAGCAATGCTTCACGTTTCGGTTTTTCGCGGTTAAAGTCTGAATGCAAGGGTAAGGTCGGGTTATCATTTCAGGAAAAGGGCGGTACAAGCCAACGTGCGCGGCTAGCACAACGCAAGCATCGTATTGGACTGACACCAGCAATTGATTGGCACAAGGTGATCGCAGAGCTCGCCCTGGTTGCGTCGTACGCAGTTGGCACGTCGCTGCCTGAAATTTGTACGAGCCGCATAGGTGCAAGTCATGTGCGAAATAACATCTCCGCGTCTGGCAGTACCGTCGACTCAGCCGAGCTTCTGCTCCAGACTGAAGAGCTAGCTCCCAATCCAAACCTCAGGGTTCTTCTGGGTCCAGAGCGAGTTGGTGTTGGGTGTAGTTGGGCTCGGGTCGATGTCTTGCCTCTTGACAAGTGCCCCAGCTAAGCCGTAGGGTTCGGGCTTACCTGGAAAAAGAAAAAGATCGCCGATGCCAAAGAAACATACCATATCCCACCTGTCCACCGGTCTTCCCCGCGCTCTCCGTCACCATCAAGTTCAGAAGCTCTCGATACTTTGCTGTCTCCTCAAGCCCAGATACCTCCTCGTGGCCAGAGCCATCTTCCACTTGCAGGGAAAAGGGGTGGAATCGGGCACATTCGGTTGAATACGAACCATAGGCACCATTCGTCAAGGTAGACACGTTATCGTGTATGGTACCGTATGTTCAGCGAGTGCGTTCATTGGGTCTCCGCTGTAAAAATGACGCCGACAACGACATCAACAACAAAAACAACAACAAACAGTAGTCTTCGTAAACAGTAGTCTTATTATTGGTCAATCCATCGCGGAACAATGGGCTCTGATCAACACGTCCGTCTTGGATTTGCACTGGTACTTGCCAAAAGGAAAAAAATGTGCTGGCGCAGACATGTGTATTGTCAGGTCAAGCATTCCCTGAAAAGAGAGCGGCAGGACACTCTGATAAAGGTGCAATTGCATGGTCGCTATCCCAGATAGTACGGACAAAATCCTCCAAAAACTTGGACAAATTCGGACGAAACTGCTTCCAATCATTACAGGCAGCTCAAATTTTCAGTTGCGTCCACCAAGACCTACCTGACAAAACTCTTCTCTCATTTCGCGTAGTTGCTTCTTGTGTATCTCCGAAGTCGGGCTGGTAACTTCTGCGAGCGCCTTCACCGACCTGGAACAGTGAAGTACTTCGCTATGGTGAGGGCTCATGGGCGTGTTCTCTTGGGGCAAAGACGACCCCTCAAAAGAGAGTCGAAGACATATCTTAGTTTGAGGTTGGGGCGTGCGAAAGGCGTTGCAGCCTGACGTTCCACCATTGCCGTGATGACACTTGATGGGGTGTCAACGTGACGACAAACGGCAAGCGACGAAACAATAAATTCAGGGGAAGTATGCTGATCCGGGGACAGCGAGCGGCCGGGGTGCATGAGACATGATTGTTACGAGAACCCACAGCATGGACACACCGCATAAGAAACACCCTCCTCAAGTCAACGACCTTGCAACGGAAACTCCAGCTTCCGTTCTACTAATATTCTACTGATAGTCTACAGTACTCCAGAGCTCCCGCAAGGATTCCAACAGGTTCCGAGCAGACATGCCACTCATTCCGACGAACACGTGCTGGAATCACGTGTTGACACTGTACTGATGTAGTTAACTGCTTGCCCTGGCGTATCGTCACCTGTGGTAACCGATTATGCTGATATGTAGAGTCACCCCCTTCTGGGAATGTGCTCGCCGCCTCATGTATGACAAGTTGTTCGCTTCGCGTCTAGCCCAAGCAGCAGCAGGAACGAGGCCGCCAAACCATAAATACGACATTGGGAGCCGGGGTAGGGGGCGAAGGGGGACCCATCTGTTCATGGGCGTTGTTCATTCACCATCGACCGAGCATACTATTGAGGCGGCAATTTGTAATTTCTTCATCTCCATAAGAACACCACGAAAGTGCGAGCACCGTTGGGTTTCAACAAAGGAGGGACAAGGTGGTTGGGTCGACCGGCGGGACATGTAGGCAACCGGATTCCAGGCTCGAGGAGAGCAGTGGGCAGCGTACAAAGCGATGTATCTACGACCAGTCCTGCTGTCGTATTCGATGACAGGTGGGGGGCGGGGGGCGGTTGAGTGTGGCGTGTTGTAAAAAGTTGCTGGATAATCTCGGGATCTCGAAAACCTATACCCAGTCCCGACGGCATGCATCCCGTCGTCTCTTCCACGCCATCGTGCTTTACAACCTCGACAAAGTTTGAAATGTGTTTGGTGCTTCTAAGTAGTGCGGCGAGAGCACGATACCTGTGCATCTCGTAGTAAGTAAGGGGTGGTGACCGCGCTGAACAGGAACCGAAGCCGTGACAAGGAATTCCGGCTGCACGTAAGCGGGATCTCTACAGTACTTCGCATGTTGTGAAAGGGGAAACAAAAAAACGCCTCATTGGGATCTGTGTTTCCACGATCGGCGGCTGTACACGCAACAAAGAGCAACCACACCTGCCTTCCAAGAGCTCCCCAAGAAGGTCTACACCGACGTCGTCAGTGACGCTTGTTTGTGCTGGTCGGGGGCACCAAGTTTGAGAACAAAGTTCAACCCGAGCGGATAACACGGCGAGTGCATGCCGTGAGGACCCACTGCTTACGTTCTGCCGAAATACCGTAGGTGACCTAAGGTACCATACCCCCTGGACCGAGTTTCAAAGCTCGATTTCTCCACGACGAAGAGGGTGCATGAATGAGACCATACGTTTTCGGAAAACTCTCGACAACGTGGCCCCAACGCCGCCGTTTTCGATACCGCCACTCTTCCTGCTGTGGAGGAGAAATTAAGCTTTGAAATCGGTCTGGGGGTGTGCTATCTTACGTCACGTGTAATAATTAAGGTCTATAGCGTAGCCCGGAAAGACAGCGAAAGGAGTCAGTCGAGACTCGCTCTCAACCTCGGGTGGCGCTTCCACTCGTTCGTAAATCAGCAAACAGCCTAACCTATTCGACAAGTCAGCGGGTGCGAACGGGGAGGTGGTAAGGATGCCCGAGCACCAGCGCACATTGCGGCACAACAAGTTGCCAAAAGCTTCTGGCTTAGACAAACTCCTAACCCCAGTGGCGCAGCCCTCACCGAACCGAGAAGAGTGACCGCCATGCAGCATGAAACCCAGCGTTTTGCCATTGTTGTACTCCCTGCCTACAGATCACAGGGCCTTGTCACGGTCCTGTGGATAGGTGCAGTGATGACAGTGTGGGTAGGGTGATGGCCCTCCGAGATGGCCGGCCGACCAACGCACCCCAGGCCTGGTTGTGTCACAATATTCTTCTCCCTACTGCAGCTGGCACCGTTATTGAGAGCTTCGGTAGAGTAGGTACCCTCCTCTCTCTTCTCTCTGTCGCTTTCGCTCTCCCCGTCCTTTCGCTCTGTGTCTCATGGCTTCGTTCTTGACTTGCCTCCGGCGGGGAATGTGACTCTACACCCCGATAAAATGGAAAAGGCGTTCTGCCAAGTTCTGCCGGTCAAATAATGTTGAGATGTTGAGGTGGAGAGAGGAGAGGGCAGAGGTGGCTGCCACATGATGGCTTGTGGGTACAATAGGCACAAGACGAAAGGCACCGCTGCCTGACCAGCTACCCATCACCCGAGCCACCGCTGCACAGGAAAAACGAATGGACGGCGACCCACAACAGCAGTAAACTTTCGAGGTAGGGTGTTTTCGATGGCCGTTCCGCACATTCCCACGAACGAATATTCGCACCGCACGTCCATACATATATTGAGGAGCAATGCATTCATGTGCGCGTATCCAGATCTGTCGGGAACGCCCGCTGCTATTGCTGCTACTGCTGCTGCCTCTGCTGCCGCTGATAACACTTAGTTAATTCTTTGTCATTTGTCAATTGTGTCTCTTCCCTCAGGGCTACCGAGACGGCGGCCTTGTTCATCGACACCAGGTGCTGCCACTGCCACTTAGTGCGACCAGCGGCAACGGCTAGCAGGTGCTGGTGCCGTAAGACCGTTCAGCAGTTGGAGCATTCGAGTGAAAAGTAGCAAACCCAGTTATTGTGCAGAACATCTCGGGAGGGAGGTCGGCACTACATGTACTCCGACTGCCACTGGTGAAAAGGTACAATTTCCGGAGTTCAACACGAAAATCGATTTGTTTCGTGCTCGTAACATGTACATGCAGTGTAGAACACAGCAGTGTTGACATCTGCGGGGGCTATCACGTGCTGATCCTGCAGAGAGAGGAAGAGAGAGCGGGACGGATGTGCGTATATATATCGAGAGAGAGAAACAGAGATTCCTTCCTCTGCCGGCAGATAGCTTCGAGCATTGTTGGAGAAACAAATTAGACTTGGACGATGGCACCACAAATACACAATCGATCGCGTTGTTGATATTGCTGTCTTCGGAAGAGGACAGTGAGGTATTCTACTATGCCAGGGATCAAAAACACGAAACACGTGCCGGCATGCTATTACAATCGATACAGAATGATCGGGGGAAGCGTTTGAGTTTGACAGGCCTTTCACCCGCCACAGGACGAAGAGGCCTACAACGGGGAGAAGGTTATTTTCTTCCTTCCATGGTTGCTGTGCATAGCTTCCATGCAACTCCATGGAAGATTCACGCGCTTCCATGGGAGTCGACATGACTTTCATGACAGCCACTCAACTTCCATGGAAGCCGTGTGGAAGCAGTGTGTCGGATCGCGGCGCCAGCTTCCATGATGCTTCGATGGAAGTTGAAAAATTATTAAATTCCCATGGAAGCAGCGGGTGGTTGCTTCCACGGGAAGTCGCATCCTTACCTTCCACGAAAGAATGAAGAGCTTCCATGGAAGTCACGACTTCCAGTCCGTCCAACACCTCCCCAAAACAGCATGGTACTTTCTTCGAAGCACCGCAACTTTCATGAAAGAATGCATCGTCCATTGAGTTTTGTAGGGATTGGAAGGCATCGTCCACGGAAGTGTTTTGTCAGGTATAGCATGCAACCTACATGGAAGCTTGCAACTTCCTGAAGCAGTTTCGATGTTTTGTCGAAGATGTCTGACAAATCGGTGCGAGAGCTTCCATGGAAGAAGATTCTAGGGAAGGGTTTGTCATAGGTGAAAGACAACGTCCATGGAAGCATGCCAAAGTCCACGGAATCAATTTCCATGGAAGGAAGTGGTTGCCAGAGTTGCCTGGCAATTCCCATGAGAAAGCACATCAACTTCCATGGAAGCAACCCCCATGGAAGAAGCGTCTTCCACGAAAAAACTGTGTGGCGTACTACACACATGCATCACAAGCGCGCACCAGCGAATATCACTACTGCTCCAGAAACAGACCGCCGGCGGTTGCGTTGTTGAAAAATCGGAACCGACAAGAACTTCTGGCGTCTTCCCCCACCGTGACCCTCAGAAACCAAGTCCCGGACCCCCTCGTGAATCAAACATGCGTCAATGCAAAGGCGCTTGGTAGTACAACCATTTCGGCGCATGCGAACACCTCACCACGGCCCGCAACTCGTTGAGCTTATCCGGGCGAGTCTGATTCGCCAGCCATATTAAGTGTCCCATAAACAACCGAAACGCTCGTCGATATCGGGCTCGTCGACATCGGGCTCGTCGACATCAAGCTGCTCAAGCGTAAACCCAATGACGATAGGTGCCTTTTTTTTTTTCGCCAACCCTAACTTGGCAACGACGTTCTCCGCCAACGCATGATGCGAAAATATTACTGTCCCCATTACGTTGTCACGAGAGAAAAGGCGAAACAGACATCCCAAGTAGTTCCCCAAGGTTAGAGATGGGCACATATGTATCGGATAAGGTCAAAACCAAATGGGTCGCACCTGCTCCTTAGGCCGATAGACGATATGTCGTCTATGTACGTAGATCATGATGACACACCATGATCATAAACCCAAGTACTTGTTTTCAGACCGTCTCAACCCCACAATCCTACTGGAAAACACACCGCCACAGCAGGGAAATCACTACCGCTGGGTACACCGGTGCAGCCGACGATGCCGCCGCTCCAGACGCTGGACCACCGGGTGACGGCCAAGGCGGCGAAGAGGCCACGGCGTCCGACCCCCAGGGACGCACTTCTCCCATATAACCCTGGCTGCGGAAGCCTCACGTGCAGTGCAGAGTACGTGGCCGCCCCCGCTGCCGCGGGGGTCGTGTGGGTCGCAGGGGAATGGCCACTTCCTTAGTCGAGGTAGTAGTACCGCTCCGCCTTGCTGCCCATGTTGGACGGAAGGTGACGGTGGCGGAAACCGGTTGAGGGGAAAGGTAGGACCAGCCGGATCGTCCTCTTGCCGCACAAGTTAACCTCCGGGTACCGCTTGTTCTACATGCCCCCCCCCTGCTGAACTGTTAACAGAGTCGTTCATAAACGCGAAAACCTAGGGCCAGATGGCCCGCAAGTACACCGCGCGTGTCAGGAGCTTAACGTCGGGGAAGAGTGTCGGGAGGGAACTCCAACCACGTACCCCCGGCTCCCGCCGCATTTCGGGCGATCCTCCTCTGCACGAGACCGTTACTCGTGGGCCCGTTCGGCCGCTTTGAGTCCCCGCGCAATGTTCACATCAGCCATCATCCCTCGAAATATCACGGTGGCCTACCCGGTGCCATTGTCGGTCGAAACACACCCCAGCTCCCCGTTGGCAGCCATGAGTGGCGTACCATGCACGCAACGCGAGGACGACAGCCGCACTGCTCTTGTCCCATGAGAACGAAGCTCACCCATGCGTTTTCATCCAGGATCCGTATCAGGTACTGAGCACAGCCGGTGGATGGCCCGTACGACCCCGCCAGATCCATGGAGACACGCTGAAGAGACCAAGTCGTCTTACGGGAATAGACGAGGACCTTGGGGAAGGCGCGTGTGATAGCCTTCGCTCCGCATATCCATTGCAATACTTCTGAGTGCCAGTCAACTTGATCCCCACCTGCTTGGCGGTCTCGTAGAGAGTCTTGACACGACATGGCCGACGGAGCAATGGAACTCGGTAATGTTCATGCTGGACTGGAAGTCGGGCCGCATTATCTCCACGACCATCAGGGGTTGGGGCTGCTGTGGATCGTCGTGGGCTCCCTCGAAGTACTTGCCCTGATCGATTTTCGTGAATTTGACCCTAACTCACCATCATCTTGGCCCTCTACTTGTTGAACAGGCCGTTGTTCTTTTCCTGAACAACAGGATCTCGAACGCCAAACCCGGGACAGCAGCAACATCCGTGAGGGGCACGCGGAAATTGTCAGCGCAATGGATACCACCTCCAGGTCGCCGATGTATGCCGCCTGAAAGCACTTGCCGTCACGCCAAGCATGAGCTGACGGGGCCCGCCCAATCCACCTCGCGATCGCCGATTTGCACTATGTCAACTTCCGGATGTGGGCCCTTTAAACGCCTTCTTCGATCTGTTCTCCTTTTTTTGTGTGCAGGCCGCGGGTGACCTTCCATCATCGAGGCGGAGGAAGCGGAGCACCGGGTCATGTCGAGGACGGACTAAGGGAAGCAGCAGCAAGGGGGTATCCTTGCAAAAGACCTCCGCAAGGGGGGGAGTGTTGAGCGAAAGATGGCCGCATTATGGTCGGGGGGCGGGGGGTAGTCTTTATTTTTGACTTGTTGGAGGGTGGAGACGCGTGTGGTGAATTCGAGGCCTACACTGGCCGCCCAGAGAGCAAGGCGCATGGTCAACAACCACGTAATCATCCGTCTCCCCTGGCTGTCTTGTGTAAGCCAACGTTGCGTGGAGGTTTAGATGGTGTTTTGCGATTCCTGACACTCGTGTGATGAAACAACAGGCGGTCGCCCTTTTTCCTTGCAAGTGCCGCTGTTCCTTGGACGGGGATACTTGTTTTGTACCCCAAGTCCCCGCTCTGCCTCCCAGAGAGAAGCGTCTTGCGTTGACCTAGAACATCGGCTGGGTGTGTTCGTTCTTTCACAGTACAAGGAGCCAAAACCTCGACCACTGTCTCAGAGATCAATTCAGGGTTGTTGGCAATCCACGAGACAGGTAACACCAGTACCGTCTTTTTTTCCACCGGTATGGACGGGAAACAACCATAATTTCGCCCACAAGCCAAAATAAGACAACGCACAGCAGCAGCCAGTGGCCCACTGGTTCAGTTGGTAATAACTGTCCAACCTTTGGGGCGTGGGTTCGAAACTTGGCGCAGTCACATGAACTGGGAGTTTCTCCCGCTACATGCCCAATGCAATGCGTAGAAAGCAAATGTTGTCTTATACGCAATAAATTTCACCTCCACGGTCGACGAGGGGCAAAGCTACGGATGAATCCCTCTCGCAACAGAAGTTAAGGGCGAGCACCGGAGAAGGATACGTGAAAATAGAAGCGAAGACCTCCTTGACAGCATGCTCCTGTCGGCTACAATCCAGACTAAACGGGACGACACACACACAAAGTATTATTTCCGAAATCACGCTGGCAATGAACCGAGGCGTCCTACGTTTCTGCTCCCCAAACAACTCTGGTGCGCCCGGGTAAACCACCGCACTTATGTTATCAAAAGTGAAGGCGAGACTCAGAGAGCGGCGGCATGGGCGTTCTTCAGGACTGCCTACACCGCCTTCACAGCATGGGGGTATCGATCACCAATGCCCTATTTTAGCACCACACACGCAAGGCGCTCCGAGGGGAGACCGACATGAAAAAAAATGGGAGAGGGAGGCTCCTTACTGCTGCCATGCAAAGAAGCAACGACAAGACGAAAGTCTACGGTTGGGCCAAATATTGACTCGACAAACACCCAACTCTAGTAACCGGATATTTACAAAAGGTTACGCAATGGTTTCATGACACTACTTGCATTAACATAATACCAGCAAAAAACATTTTCACTGCCTCGCCGTGATGGTATTATGGTTTTTCGTGCGGATACGGTCGGTTGGATCCTGCCCCGGCGGCAGGGCCTGAACTGGACCCCCGTGTCCTCGTCACTCTGGGTGTCCTCATGATCGCTCTCGAGGTCCTCGTCATCGCCATGTTGGATCTGGGTATTTTTTTAAGCAACACAAAAACATACATTGGAGAGGGTGTTCAGGGGGGGGGGTCTTCTTTTCTCTCCTCTCTTTACATTGATTCCTTGGGAGGGGGGCGGAATTGGAATTAATCGAATGCCCGATACACCAAGCAGGAATGAAAAATGCAGTGAATTCGGCAGCACTTCGGGCCGAGAGGGGGTAAGGGAGTAAGAGTTCAGCTTTAACGTGTATGCTTCCTCCCCGGTCAATTTCACTCTGCAGTCCACTCTGTATTGTTGTGCCCCGTTTCTATATGCAACAGGCAAAGCGCAACAACAGCAGTAAGCTGCTGAATGCTCTGTCCTTGATGTATGGAAGCGAGGCCATGCCGACCGGCCGAAAAGAACGCCACTTCATCATATGTGCCCTACGGAGAACAGCAGTGTGGGGGAAATGAGGTGGGATCAGCACAGGCAATGGGCAGGTATACTATACTCTGCTGCTCATGCGAATTAGAGAAGATGCACTGAAAATGACAGGTGGAACTTGGGAGGAGCAGAGATACATCCAGCGCATCAGCGCACAAAAAAAAACGCTCTGTCCTGAAATAAATGCAGACATAGGTAGGGCGCAGGGTAAACAAGAGAACAAAACACAGGATGTTTTTCGCGTTTGCCCAACTCTCCGGCTTGCGCGTTTTAAGAAACATCAATACAAACACAGAAGAACTACCCATTCGAGATACTCTATACCGTAATTAATTCTGCGTGTGATCGCACACCGTGTTATTAGCGTATTTCTATAGCTAGCGTATTTCTCCACAACTACGAGGGTGCGAACACCAACTGATACATCTCCGGAAAGTCCTCGACGAGATGTTTCCAAAACCAACCTTTTCGGAGGTGGTACCTCCCTGGTTGAGGAGAAATACGCTATAGAAAAACGCTAACACGGGGGTGCGATAACACGCACAATTAATTACGGGTAACTACTTCACACAGCAGTCGAACGGGATTTTGTAGTGAAAAAAAAACTTGCTCGGGCGCCTGCTGAGTGCAAGACAGTGCTGCACGGCTAAAAAAAAAAAGTGTGAGAAAAAAAGCTTCCAACGAGAAAGCGCCCCCCTGTGGAAAATCCCTCTGATCAGGCGGCTCGCGGCGCAACAGACCTCCACACCCAGCACCGGCTCTAGAGGGCGAACAAGAGGCTAGACTGTCCAGTTTTTAAGATTGTTGTGTTAACACGATGCCAGGGCACAGCAGGGTATGTTTTTTATGTCAAGGTGCACTTGGTAGGGTGAGAAAGTTGGACTTTAGGTAGAGCGTACCGCACTGCAGAAGCTCCAAGATCAGGGAGGGAGCTTCACACGCGAACCGACCTCTGCACGAGGTTGGTGTCTTGCAGCCTAACTATGCTACTGACATGTACCTAGGTTGCATTACCACCTAATGCAAAAGGTTTGAGGCGATTCGGTGAGGCAGGAGATAAGCATGGTGTGTTCAAAATTCAAATTTCAGGAGAGCCCACGCCGGGGGTCCGAACGTACGCTCTTGCATGTTGCGCATGTATGCATGTATATCCACTGGATACACCATCCCCACCCCAAGATACTATGGAAATGCCCGATACAATCACGCTAGCTCAGGGTCAGACTATCACAACGATTTTCAGATAATCTGGGTTTCCAGAAGGCAAGTATGACTGTCTTCAAGTTCAAATTAATCTCAGTGCTTTGCCATATACTAGCCGAACATGACGCGGGGCGCTCGGCTACGTACACTCCAGACCTGCTGTAGATTGAAACACCGCAGTGTTGCAAGTCAGGTCTAATACTACAGTACGTATTTCGACAGGTTTCAGTCGTCACGCTCTCAGGTACATAAGCATGCTCGCACAGAGGATCAGATCTTCTGCACGGCTGTCAAGAGACAACGAAGCGCCCAGACCTAGACTATGTAGCATACTAGGTGTTCGCTTACGTAGTAAGCTGTGTTAGTATACCCTTGTAAGTGTGTTGAAGATGATGGTATCACTTGTATTTAGGACAGCAGACACGATCAGGACGAGCGGGACAGAGAGAGTGCCACGACACAGCAAGCACTCCCGCAGGGTCGAGCCCCGTGGATCAACCATGAAACCAACCCAGGGGACTATCAATTCCTATCTGCGTAGCCAATTCCTACAGTCCCGTTGGAATATTCTCATCCGCTCATGCACACACGAACAAGCTGTACGTGTCACGTGACATTTTGTGATTTTTGTTGTATAGTCTACTCTGGTATGGTGTTTAATGCGTGGGATAACCCGGCATAGGTCGAGTTGTTGTTAGATGACCCGTCGGAGAGGTAGGCGGGGCAACCGGGCTTGTGGGAATAACAGCCCCACAGGTCAGACCTCGGAACCAGCCTGGGAGCTCTGTTTCGCCCGGAAGCGGAGGTATGCAGCCAATAT